CCAGGTGGTCCAACGGTCTGACTCTGAAACAAGGGCAGTTTCCTTATGGTCCTAACGTGACCTGCGTGTCAGAGGAACACGGCTTTTCAGATCATGGAATATTGCAGCACTGTGTAGCAAAAATTCGGAAAACACCCAGAGAACTGGAGAGTCAAGTTAAAAAGCATTAAACTTTAGAGTCTCCATTGCAGATAGCATGTAATTTCCTAATAGGATTTCGGTTTAAAGATTGACAGCCTTAGCAATCTTCCATCGTTCAGTAATCTGGAGGAAATAATGCTGTATTGGACTCCATCCGTTTGTGGTGTGCATATCTAATTTAAAACTCCACATAACTGTCAGGTAGGAGAAGATTAAAAATAAATAAAAAATCCTCCTGCTGCTACCTCACGTAGACTTGAGTTATAATGTCGAGAGTATCTAGCGTTTAGTTTGCAAGCAATGGTTTGTCTCAGATAATTGATTAAACCCAATAGGAACGTAGATGCCGATTCTGGGGTTGTGATCTTGTCATCTCTCATAAGCCAAGCAGCAGAGAGATCTTGGCTCTGACAGGTCTCCCCTAAAAACTCAGGAGAAAAAATACAACAATAAAAAATTGTTTATGTGCAATGAGCTGCTGCCCCTAGATGACGACGACAACAACAATTTTATTATTTATACCCCACCCATCTGGCTGGGTTGCCCCAGCCACTCTGAGCGGCTCCTAGCAGAATAGTTAAAACGTGATAAAACTTCAAGCATTAGAAACTTCCCTAAACAGGGCTGCCTAAACAGATGTCTTCAAAAAGTCAGATAGTTGTTTATTTCCTTGACTTCTGAAGGAAGGGCGTTCCACAGGGAGGGCGCCACTACCGAGAAGGCCCTCTGCCTGGTTCCCTGTAACAGCGCTTCTCGCAGTGAGGGAACCAGCAGAAGACCCTCGGAGGACAGTGTTTGGGGGTGGAGATGCTCCTTCAGGTATACTGGGCTGAGGCCATTTAGGGCTTTAAAGGTCAGCACCAACACTTTGAATTGTGCCCGGAAACAAACTGGGAGCCAATGTAGGTCTTTCAGGACCGGCGTTGTATGGTCTCAGCGGCCACTCCCAGTCACCAGTCCAGCTGCCGCATTCTGGATTAGTTGTAGTTTCTGAGTCACCTTCAAAGGTAACCCCACGTAAAGCACATTGCAGTAGTCCAAGTGGGAGATAACCAGAGCATGCGCCACTCTGGCAAGACAGTGCACAGGCAGGTAGATTTTTAGGCGATGTCCCAGATGGAGCCACCCTGGACGCAGAATTAACCTGTGCCTCCATGGACAGCTTTGAGTCCAAACTAACCAAAAGACTTCACCTAAAGCAGACTTCCCTCCTACATATTCCACCTTATGCCTAATTTAATGTGAATCTTCACTTTGCTTCCTTGCTGCCATTGGTTTCCTCGACTTGCTGCCATTTCATCATTACCCACCTCCCCCTGCTTGCTTTGGCTTCTTTCTCTTTTCTAGAGTGAACCTAGACAATCAGGGAAACCTAGACAATCAGGGATCGCGTAGTGTTTTTATGAAGTCACAATGCTTTGCGGACAGTCTGGTCTGGCTACATGACAATGTCGCTGCAGTTAAGTGAAGCTGGTTTAAGAGCGCTCAGCTTGACGATACAAACAAATTTGGACCACTACTTCTTATCAATCAATCAATCATTGTAATTATGCATTTATCTGCTGCTGTCTTCCCTGAGCATTCAGACTCCTAGCACCCAAATGGCCCCAAAGCCCAGCCTGCACAATCTCTCCCCTTCCCCACCTTCAACTCGCACCTCTTGTTTTCGTTAGGTACTTCCAGCAGTTCCTATTGTGCCTTGCGGGGAATTTTGTATGCCTTGGCAAACGCCCAGATCTGATAGCGACACAAGCCTGCATTGTAGTGCGCATTGGGATCAGGAAGAGATTAGCAATGGAAATGTAGCCGTTTGCCTCTTTTCATTTCCCTCTTGAAATAATTCTCCCAGTATTGCCTCCTTCGTCTGTGGCTGGGGTCAGAGGTATAGTGCGGCCCAATTTCCTGCCGCGTGGGATGTACCAACATCCTGTGCTTACGGCTGTCTGCTCTAATCAGCTCCACTGCTGGAAATCGCCTTGGTTTCAGTGAGTTCACAAATGCAGCTCGGAGGGAGACAGGGCACTGTAGATGTCGTGTGATGCGTTTCTGCATTGCAGTTTATTTTGCTTCGGCCAATCAAATTTCATTATTTTTGTATTCGGAATCGCCTCCTGCACTTGAATCAAGATTATCTACTTAAAATAAAAATAAAAATGTGGACGTTGTCATTCATCAACCAGCAAGAAAAGAAATAAAAATACATAGCCTAATATGTATCTTAACATCTGTCAAAACGGGGCCACTTCCACATTGTGCAGAGCATCCAAAGGGATTAGTTGCCTGGATGCGGGTGGTGCTGTGGATTAAACCACAGAGCCTAGGACTTGCAGATCAGAAGGTCGGCAGTTCGAATCCCCGCGATGGGGTGAGCTCCCGTTGCTCAGTCCCTGCTCCTAGCAGTTCGAACCTAGCAGTTCGAAAGCACATCAAAGTGCAAGTAGATAAATAGATACTGCTCTGGCGGGAAGGTAAACGGCGTTTCCGTGCGCGGCTCTGGTTCTCCAGAAGCGGCTTAGTCATGCTGGCCACATGACCCAGAAGCTGTACGCCGGCTCCCTCGGCCAATAAAGCGAGATGAGCGCCGCAACCCCAGAGTCGGCCACAACAGGACCTAATGGTCAGGGGTCCCTTTACCTTTACTAATGTCAGAAACTCACTCCAGGAATATGGAAAGTCTCTGCTGGCAGCCTTTAAGTAGAGATGCCTCCTCATAGCAGCTTTAATTCTGCTTCCCCTATACTCTGAAATGGGAAAAGGGGAAATAAAGTTTAAAGCACTGGTTCAATTCTTTACCTGATGTGCTCACCTGAGTAGATCACTTCATGAAGATGTTTATTAGGCGCTTGTCCAGAATGCCAACTTTATTTTAAACCTAGGCTTTGTTTTTCCTTTTATATTGTTTCTTTGAAAACATATTTTATTTTCCTATACGTTAAAAAAATCAATGCAAATTTGTTGAAAATAAAACAACCCATTTTCTTTCAAACAGGAGAACAAAACAAAAAATAATAATCAAAATTTCTCTTTTTTTAAAGTTTCTATTCATAGCTGGTCTGTAAATCTAGTGAAACACGGATTTTTGTATCCTGAAAACTAGCCTTTATGAAACATGAGACTTCTCCAAAGCCAACACACCCTTTGCTTAAATCTCACAGGCTGAATGCCTGGTGAAATTTTCAGCCTGCTGATACTGTGTAATTAGTTTAATAAAAAGCAATTATAATTGGAGTGGCCCTTTCCAATTAATGAAAAATACAGAATGGCTTTCCAAAACAGGACTCTAATTTAATTATTGATTAGCTTCACAGTTTGAAAATATGCTTTTAAACCATTTGGCAAAGTCTAGATTGCGTGAGTCACTTGATTTAAGAACAAAATGGAGTTTAGAAAGAAAAACATGGCAGCAGTAGCTATTTTTGAATGATTTGCCCCTGGGTGGGTGGGGGAATACTTTCCTTAAAGGTGGGATACATATTACTCTTAGAGCAGTCAGAGGACAGTCCTCTAATTTGAAGGTCTGCCAGAAGATAGTCCTCTGCTTGAAGGCAATCTCTGTTTGGAGGGCTGTCTGGTCCAAGTCTGGTTTGAAGGTAAAGGATCATAAGAAGAGAGCAGAGGCCTTGTAGCTGCCCATAGCAAACCTGTTGCGTTGCCGGAACTCAGTGGTAGAGAACAAGCAGCAGATGCCTGGCATTTGCAGATCAGGCCGGGGTTCTTCCCTGTCTGAAATACTGGAGGCCTTCTGCCTGTCAGGCTGGGCAGTACTGGTCAGACTCAAGTCTAATGTAGCTTCCCTTGTTGTACCTAGACTGCAGACTGCATATGCCGACAGGTCTTCCCTATTTTTCTGAGATGCACTTGTATTGAAATTATAGCAGTTCTGGATTTGCAGCTATGCACATGACAATTTTACGCAAATTAGTGCGCTCTTGGGGAGCGAGTTCCCGACCCCCCCAGCTGAAAATAATGACACATGACGCAATTATTAAGGTTAATGGGCTAAAACAGGCCACAACTTTATTGGTTTCAGGCGATGAGTGGTATTGGCTTAGGCATTGGTCCTAACCGACTATATCCGACTCCAGCCCGTCTGCTTGAAGTCTGGGAAGGGTTAACCACCAGTAGGGGGAGTCCTGCTGATGCACATCAACTAGGAACTCCCCCGGGGTCACCGATAGGGGGCGTGACTTAGGCCTTTACCTCCCTAGGCTTCGGACAGGGCCATGCCCCCCAGAATCCTTTAACAGACTACCCTTCAATATGTGGGGCAGGTGATGGCGCTACCTCCCCTCTTCCATCTATAGAACAATACCAATGCCTAACTGTCAATACCGAGAAAGTTGTGGCGATTTGCTACGACGTAGGCGAAAGCCAAGTGGCTGGTGCAAATTTGCCAACTGGAAAAATTCCTATCAGGCCCCTCAATGGCAACCAACCAAGGTCTATAGCAAGGTCAAAGAACAAAAACCTTATAGGGTGGGAAAACAGGAACAGCGGGCGGGCGGCAAAGAGGGAGATCCCTGGCTGCGTCCTGCGTTTATAGGGCAGGCCACGCCCCCGAACCAGCCGATTGGCCAGCTAGGGGGTGACATGGCCGGGAATCCCCCCAATCGTGCGGGGCTGGCCTTCACCCACCGTGGAGGGGCCGTGAAGCCTGCAACCCCATGTCCTCCTTAATGTGGAAGTGGCTTAAATGACCACTACTAGAGAAGTGATTCAATCAATGAACTCATTGCCTTGCTGGCAGCATGTGCCTCTTGTCACCCCCCCCCCCCCATTTCAGACTAGCTGGCAACTGCAATCTTGACTTCTTTCCTTGCTGTCATTTCACAGGCTCCATTTCTTCTTTTCCTCCCCAGGTGCTGGGAGAGAACGAGAGGCATTGGAAAGCTGTGCTTGTTGTACTGACTGAGAAGGATCTCTTGATGTACGAGAGCATGCCACGGATCAAAGAGGCTTGGTTCGGTCCTCTTCATTCATACCCTCTGCTGGCCACCAGGTACCTTCGTTGATGTTTTGTCACTGCTTCCATAACTAGTGACTGTGCACTGAGCCTTGAGATGCTGAGTCATGTTCACAGGCCACTCACTATCATCATCATCATCATCATCATCATTTATTTATTTATACCCTGCCCATCTGGCTGGGTTTCCCCTGCCACTCTGGGCGGCTCCCAGGTAAAGGTACCCCTGCCCGTACGGGCCAGTCTTGCCAGACTCTAGGGTTGTGCGCTCATCTCACTCTATAGGCCGGGAGCCAGCGCTGTCCGCAGGCACTTCCGGGACACGTGGCCAGCGTGACAAGCTGCATCTGGCGAGCCAACGCAGCACACGGAACGCCGTTTACCTTCCCGCTGGTAAGCGGTCCCTATTTATCTACTTGCACCCGGGGGTGCTTTCGAACTGCTAGGTTGGCAGACGCTGGGACCAAACGACGGGGGCGCACCCCGCCGCGGGGATTCGAACCACCGACCATGCGATCGGCAAGTCCTAGGCACTGAGGTTTTACCCACAGCGCCACCCGCGTCCTACAGGGCGGCTCCCAACAAAATATTAAAAATACAATAAAACATCCGACATTAAAAACTTCCCTAAACAGGGCTGCCTTCAGGTGTCTTCTAAAAGTCAGATAGCTAGTGGTTGATAAGCTCTAGCATCACAGAGGGCAAGCCAGACCCTTGTTTGACATGTTTGATGTCACAGAGGACATAAACGCCAAGCTTATATATCTGAGTTTTTAACACTGCTTTGGACTACATTAACAAGGCTGAGAGGTGGAGGGTCAGATGGGCAGCCCCCGACATCCATACACACTGCCCAGGCTTGCGCCCCAGGGAGGTCACTTCTGGCACAGCAGTTTGACTTCACTCCTGGAGGCTCACTCGATTGTCTCTTGAGACAGACAGATGCCAACAGCAATAACTCCCAGTGCCAATGGTCAGGGGTGATGGAAGTTGTAGTCCAGCAATATTTGAAGGGCACTTGCTACAAGACAGACACATTTTGATGAGGCAGCAACATAAGATCCTTCTGCATCAGGCCAGTGGTCCATCTAGTGCAGTACCTGTTCTCACCTTGGCCAACCAGATGCATTTGGGAAGCCCACAAGCAAAACATCAGCAGCACAAACCACCTGTGATTCCCAGTGACTGGTACCTGGAGGCGTACTTCTGTAGAGGTAGAACATCGCTTCCTTTCTTAGGAAGGGTTCGGAATTCTGTTCTAAGGTTAACAAGAAACATTTGTCAAAGCGAAACCCTCTTCACGTATTCTTAATTGGTCTTCTTCTTTGGCGATCACTCATAGCCAAGTAAGATTGCCTTCCATAAACACGGTTTTAACAGTGAGTCTGTAAGTGGCTGTGGAGGCCAATTCTGGATCCACACATTCTTTTACAGTGGGGACATAGGTTGATCACGGTGAGGGTTTGTCAAGTGTGCCTTCCTCTTAGCACGTTTCTCCCTTTCATCCTGAAGTTGAGTGCCTTCAAAGCTCATGACACCTTTGGTAAAGGCTGTTCACCAATTGGAGCGCTCGCAGACCAGTGTTTCCCAGTTGTCGGTGTTTATACAGTGGTACCTTGGGTTATAGATGCTTCAGGTTACATACACTTCAGGTTACAGACTCCGCTAACCCAGAAATAGTACCTCGGGTTAAGAACTTTGCTTCAGGATGAGAACAGAAATCGTACTCTGGCAGCAGCAGGACCCCATTAGCGAAAGTGGTGCTTCAGGTTAAGAACAGTTTCAGGTTAAGAACGGACCTCCGGAACGAATTAAGTACTTAACCCGAGGTACCACTGTACTACATTTTTTAGATTCACCTTCAGAGGGTCTTTAAATTTCTTTTGTTGACCACCAGCATTACGCTTTCCATTTTTAAGTTTGGAATGGAGTAGTTGCTTTGGAAGACGATAATCAGGCATCCACACAACATGACCAGTCCAACGAAGCTGATGTTGAAGAAAACTGGTGATCTTTGCTTCTTCCAGTACGCTGGCATTAGTTCACCTGTCTTCCCAAGTGATGTGTAAAATTTTTCAGAGACACCCTTGATGGAATCTTTCAAGGAGTTGGAGGTGGTGTTTAATTTGTATCTGGGGGTGGAGCAAAGGCCGTCTGTGAACCATGAATGCAAATATGGTGACAAGCAGTAGGCTCTGCCTCCCTTTGTGCATGTCTTCAAATGCAGATCTGTGTGTATGCCCAGTGCTCCACATGGCCAGGTACCCTGGGAAGGCAGTGTTCCCAGTTGCATGGAGCACTGCATATCACCTGCGTGACATTGTTGCAGGGCATGCCTTTGCATACTTCTGCAGAGCCTGACCCTGTGTGTCCCTTGTCAATGCAGAGAATTCTGCCTTGTGTCAAAACGGTTTTTGTAGCTCATGATTCCACTATTGGAAAAGAAGGAGAAGCAGAACTCTCCCCAGTCGCCGTTTCTCTGTGCACTAAATGATTTTATAAGCCTGTAAGATTTGCTTTCTTTGGCTGGTACTCCATGTGTGCCTCGCTTTTGGAACCGGAATTTTGCTCTTTGATTCTGTAACGTTTTAGTATGTAAATAAGTTCTGCTTGGGAGCGTTATAATTTATTATTCCTGCTCGATTTCTGGAATTAATACTGCTGCCACCAAAGAGGCAGATCAGCCCTGGATATTGCCAAGCCCTCCAGAAACATTCCTGGTGTTGTATCATCCTTGGGTTTTTTCTTTTACTCCCTCTTCATGCTTCTTTCTGCTGCCAGCTGTTTCCACCAGAGATGCAAGCTTGCAATAAGGAAGACATTTTCCCATTGGGATAGGAGATAACAGAGGAACAGCTGGTTACCATAGAGTGTCAGGAAGCAAGAACAAGTAGATGGATAAGGTGGGACAAAGGGAACATCACAAAGAGCTGGCTTATGGCTTTTGGCTTATGGGCACACTCTAAAGCAGACTTCCTCAGACTGGTACCCAAGAAGTTTTGGGCTGCAACTCCTATCAACAGGCCAGCTAGTAAGTTAAAATTAATGACTTGTGCAAGGCCACTTCGGTTTTTTCTAGGCTGCTGGGGGTTACACAGGGATGCTTGCCACATTAGACACGTGAAGCGCAAATGAATTAAAACGTGCAGAAAAATTCAAGTGGGAACTTCAGCCAGTTGATGGTTAGAATCCTAGAATTGTAGAGTTGGAAGGGACTGTAAGAGTCATCTACTTCAACTCCCTGCAATGCAGGGATGTCAGCTAAAGCATCCTGGACAGATGGCCACTCAACCTCTGCTTAAAAACCTCCAATGAAGGAGAGTCCACAACCTCCTGAGGGAGACCATTCCACTGTCAAATGGGCTCTTACTGTTAGAAATTTATCCTGATGTTTAGTCGGAATCTGCTTTCCTATAAATTGAAGCCATTGGTTTGGGTACTACTCTCCAGAGCAGGAGAAAACAAGCTTGTTCCCTCTTCCATGTGACAGCCCTTAAGATATTTGAAGGTGGCTATCCCATCTTGAGAGTCCCATGGACTGCAAGAAGATCAAACCTATCCATTCTTAAGGAAATCAGTCCTGAGTGCTCACTGGAAGGACAGATCCTGAAGCTGAGGCTCCAATACTTTGGCCACGTCATGAGAAGAGAAGACTCCCCGGAAAAGACCCTGATGTTGGGAAAGATGGAGGGCACAAGGAGAAGGGGACGACAGAGGACGAGATGGTTGAACAGTGTTCCCGAAGCTACCAGCGTGAGTTTGACCAAACTGTGGGAGGCAGTGGAAGACAGGAGTGCCTGGTGTGCTCTGGTCCATGGGGTCACGAAGAGTCGGACACGACTAAACGACTAAACAACAACAACCAAATCCCCTCTCCTCTTAGTCCCCTCTTTTCCAGGCTAAACATACTCAGCTCATTCAACTGTTCCTCATAAGGCTTCTTGGTTCTTGGCCCACTTCTCAGTCCACGTTGCACCCCAAATGTTTGTGGGAGCCGGAGCCCAAACCACATCTGGCATAAAGCATGAAGAAGCTCTTTCCTAGCTTGGTACTGGTTTGCTGATAAAGATCATCGCAAATGTTTTCCATTATTGTTAGGTTATATCCAATCTGGTGCAGAGTTCCGCCAGTGTGAGTATTTCCACTTGCACAATCAAACTCTCCCCCCCCCTCCGGCCCCTGTATGCACCCTAAATCTGTTCTGGGGATTTTCCCAACCTTCCAGAGCAGATTTGGGGCATGCATGGTGTGTGTGGAATTGCATTGCACAAGTAGCAGTCCTTGCAGTAATGGAACATGTTAGCTGAACACCATTCCATTTCAGCGTTCGAAACTCCCATGTTCTAGGCACATTTTGCGACAGGGAACTTCATTAATGTGAGCACTTTCTGAGCTCTGGTACTGCACCTAAGATTTTAGATTAAAACTGCCACTGCTGGAACGAAAGGAGGACCTTTTTCTGCCTATCCACTTCCAGCCACTCTCTGAAGGCTGGAGAAGAGAAGATACCCTCATAAGAATATTAGGGGGTGGGCAGGGGAAGCGTGGCTTTGTTTTTGCAGTCTTCAGATGAGGACTAGACCATGTGAAAAATGAAGATTTTAGCTGCAGTTCATTCATTTTCATATGTATGTGTGTGTGTTTTAACATATCATTTTCAACAATTATTAAACATACTTTTATATCTTATACAATTTTTTTGACTTCCATCACACCTGAAAATTTTCCAATCTTTTCACTTAATTTACGTTTCTTACTTTCACTATCACATTTAAATATCATAACTAATATCTCTCTTCTTTCTCTTCTTTGCAATATTTCATATATTTCTCCTTACAAAACTTCTTATAGTCCTACTAGCGTGACTTGTTGATTACAGTTGCTCTTCAAATAGTTCGTATATTTCTTCCAATCTTCTGTAAATCTCTGGTCCCGCAGGTTTCAAATCCTTCCTGTCATTTTATCCAATTCTGCATAGTCCATTAATTTTGTCTGCCAATCTGCAGTTCATTCATTTTCAGCTTTGTATTCTTGTC